CGAAACACGATCTCGGTGCAGTGGGCCCCGCTCTTCTTCACAAAGAGCGAGTCGGCGTCTAGCAAGGCGTGGACGGCCAACCCCAGGTGAGCGTTGGGCTGGTTGGCCGCCTTCGCATGCCTCCTGCCGAACTGCAAGCAGCTGACTGCGGACGCATAGTCGATGTTGATCCCGAAGATCGAAGGCCCGAGGAAGCTGCTCAGCGACCAGGCCGCGACATGTTCACCGTCCTTGGCCGCCAGGAAAGGGCACAGGTCGCGGCGGGCCGTGCCGTGCACCGCCGCCTGCAGGTTGTCGAACTCGTCGCACTGCACGATACTCCAGCCTGCCCCGCAGATGCCTCCGAACTCAGGGTCGAGCATCGAGCCGTCGAGGTAGAGGCGACCGCCTAGCAGCCCGTCGACAGGCCTGTTCACCTACATGACTGCCATCGTGTCCAACCAGGCCGCCTTCTCCCAGCCGCTGAGCTTGCCGCGCGGGCCGATGACCTGGCCGAGAGCGCCCCAGAACAAGGGCGTGGCGTGGGCGGCGCCGCGCCCAAGCCGCGTCATCTCAGCCCTGTCGGATGCCCTGCGAGCACCTGCCGCAGCCAGCAGTCCGAGCTCGTGGGGGCCCAAGATCAGCCTGTCCAAGGCGTGGCCGTCTTCGGCGTGCAAGAAGTGCCCAGCCGAAAGGCGCCGACCCCCCGCCACAGAGACATGGCGGCGGTTGGGCCAGCGATGTGCAAGGGCCCCACCGAGGCCCCCGCCGAGCCCAGGGTTCCCAGCCGCCTGGCGCGGGAGAGGCCCCCCACAGCGCGGGCGCCTCCCTCATGGACCCCCCTGCGTGCCGCGTAGGCGTCGGTGCCCAGATTGCGGGCCTGGGGCCCTCGCTTGACCTCGAAGCCGCGGGCTGCCCAGCTGGCGGCAAGGCCGTCCACCTCCTGTGCCGACGAGGCCAGGAACAAAGACTTGCCCCCATTGGTCGGGAAGTGGTGATCCCGCAGGCGACGCAGCACTTCCCCACTGGCCCCCACAAGCTGGTCGACAGCCAGCCTCGCCGAGCCGACAGCTTGGAGCGAGAAGACGCCCGCAAAGCAGCGCAGGGTGGCCAGAGGCCGCTGAGCCCCAGCCGCGAGGAGGCCTCCACGTAGGGGAAGCTTGGCAACATCCGTCGCGCACTCGCCGCCAGCCAGCACTGCGCCACTGGCCCCCGAGGGGGCCGACGCCATGCCTCCTGCCAGCGCGATCCTCGGGGCCAGGAAGAAGGCGAGGGGGCCGCGCAGCAGCTTCAGGTTGAAGCCGAAGCGCTGGGCGGACGAATAGAGGACTTCGTGGCGCACGTGCCCGAAGAACTTGCGGATGCCTAAGAACAGGCAGGCCTCCTCGAAGGGCGGGGCGGCCATCGCGAAGTCCGCGAAGCAGTTGTGGACCCAGCCCGCTCTTTCGCAGTCACGGCCATCAGAAACTGGAGGGCCCGACTCAGGGGCGGGCTGCGGCCCGAGGCAAGCCTTGCCAATGCAGGCCTCCTGCGCCGTCAACCTCGTCCGCTGGTCCCTTGGCACCTCGGCTTGGCTGCGCCCGTCGAGGGTCTCGGCCACCCGCTCGTCAGCGGCCTCGACAGGGAGCGCGGGGGGTGAGGGGCATCGGCCACCCGCCCGTCGGCGGCCCTCACCGCTCCCCTTTGGCCAGGTGCCGTACTCGCAGGTTTGCCCAAGCCCAGGGAAAGGCATTGGGCCCCCCACTCCTCAGGCGCCTGCTCACTCAAGCGCCAACTGACCCTCCTGTCATCAGCCGAACCCGGGCCTGCCGAGTCGACGTCGCACCCGACTGCGGCCCACACCAACAAGGCCAAAAGAAGCCGTCGCCAGCGGCTGGTCGCCAAGGAGGGCTGCGCCAGCGTTGGCCAGGTCCTTCGCCAGCGGCTGGGCTGAGGGCCACGCACCGCGCGCCTCTCCTCGCCGTGCAGCTTGGCCGCGCTCGGCAGCGCCCTGCAGAGGGGGGGCTGACGAGGCCCGCACCCGCTCCTCCTCGTCCCCGTCGAGGTCCTCGTCGGAGACGTCGAGGGGGGTGTCGGCCCAGGAAGAGCGCCCCCTCGCCACGGGGGGTGCATGCCTGCGGACCGCCGCGATCTGCTCGGCGACCTCCGCGAAGGCGGCCTCCCCGTTGCCCGCGGCGAACCCCTGGGGCAAGGCCTCGACCTGCTGGATGAGGCCGAAGACCATCCCGAGCAAGTCCGTGCCGACGAAGGCCGCGCCGACCTCCCTGGCTTGCCTGGCCTCTGCGGCCCTCTGCTCCTCACGGTGGGCCTCGAGAGCAGCTCGGCACTCCTCAACAGCCTCGGCGCATGCCGCCTCTCGCGCGATGGCTGCCTCACGCTCGCCGATGGCTGCCGCGTGGGCCTCCTCGGCCTTGAGCAGCGCCTGCTCTTTGGCCCGCCCCTGCCTGACCAGCTTCGCCAGGGCGTTGCCAGCGCCGTGGAGCGCCTTGGGCAGGGGGGCGTCGGCCTTCCTGCGCTCCGCCAGCGCCGCCTCTGCTGCCGAGAGCCTGCGACGCTCGCGGTCGAGGGCCGAGCGCAGCGACTGCAGGCACGCCTCGTCGATGGACTCGCCAGGGGCCGCGAGGAAGTCCTCGATGCGCTTGACCTCCTGGCGGTGCCGCTCGGCGGCCGAAGGCTGCACGCTGCTAGCCTCGCTGACGCCTGCCAGACTGGCGGCCCCCGCGCTAGCCGCACGGGCAGCAGTGCGCAGTGCGCTTGGCCTGGCGCCTCGCTTTCCTCCCACGGGGTTGGACGACGAAGCCCTCGGCGTCGGCGACGGGCTGCTCCTGGCCATCGGCTGCCGCGGGCGGCTGAGCTGCCTTGACCCACGGCGGGGCCACACGGCCGCAACTGCGGCACTTCCAGTACGAACACCAGTTCCATTCCCTGCACTGCCCGCTGGAGCAGACCCAGTAGTTCCAGCTGCCTCTGGCCTTGCCGCCCGCCACGACGCCGGCCCAGGAGCGGCCTCCAGCTGGCTGTCCGTGCGCCACCATGGCAAGGCAGGCTCTGTCGAATGGCCTCGCGGCCCAAAACTGCAGCCTCTCTGCTGAGGCCCGAGGTCCGAAGAACACGCACCCGAGGTCTGGCCCAAAGCGCGGAGCCCCTCGCGCTCAGAGCGCCGCGGACGACTCGCGGTCGTCGGGTGCTCCATGGCCTTGAGCCAAAATGGCTTGAGCCAGAATGGCTACGGAAGGTGTCTGTGTGTGTGTGTGTGTGTCTGTGTCTGTGTCTGTGTCTGTGTCTGTGCCTGTGTGTGTGCGGGTGTGTGTGTGTGTGCGGGTGTGTGTGTGTGTGTGTGCGTGTGTGTGTGTGTGTGAATGTGTGTGTGTGAATGTGAATGTGAATGTGAATGTGAATGTGAATGTGAATGTGAATGTGAATGTGAATGTGAATGTGAATGTGAATGTGAATGTGAATGTGAATGTGAATGTGAATGTGAATGTGATTGTGTGTGTGTGGTGGTGGTGGGGGGGTCCAGGCCCCAACCTACGTACGATCGGTCCAGTTACCCATGGGGGTGGGGGAGGGTTTGGGCCCAGGTAAAGGCCCCTACACGCCAGAGAAGAACAACAGCAATGTCTCTGATGGGTACACTCAGCAGACGGGGGCTCTGGTCAATGCGCGAACGTGGCGCTCTACCCGCCACTTCCTGCACCATGCCGTGCGAAAGCGGCATTTCCAGCCGTTTGCCTGCAACTGCATGCGCGCAGCAGGAGGGCCCGTCACTCGGTGTCTGTCTCGGTGGCGGTGGAACTAAAACCATCCCCACCCCCAAACTTCGGCCCCGCTGGCTGACTGATCCCCCCGAGGTGGGGGTGGTTGCGGTCTCCCTCGGGGTTTCGCAGCACCTTTCCCCACCAAGGGTGGGCGACGCTATAAGAACTGACCTACCCTGTCCCAGTAGGGGTTGGGATACTTCTGACGATGATGGTGGACTGAGGGGGTTGCAACAGACAGGGGGCGACCGAGAGTTCAGGTTAAATCTGCCTCAAATGGCGCTGAAGGGCGCTGTGAAACTCCAACACGGCCCCTGACAAGTGCTGGAGATAGAGGCACACAAAACGGCATAAACATTAACTGTTCGCGGTCCGCGCGGATTGCTTGGATCTGAGCTGGACCCCCTCTCTGGCGCGCGGAGCGCGCCAGGGGCGGCGCCCGAGGCGCCGCCAGGGGGGGCCCAGCGCAGATCCAAGAACTCGGCGCGGACCGCCAAAAGAGTATGTTTATGGCATCTGTTTCTTCGACCCTTGCCGCCCGCCCCATCCTCGCTCTGGGCCGACGGGGTCTCTGCGGCAGCCGAGCTGCGCGCGGTGGTGGCCGTGGCCGCCGCCACCTCGCGGAACAGCGACTCCTCCTGGCCGGCGAGCTCCGCGCCCTCCCCCGTGCGTCGAGGAGCGAGTCTCTCCGCGAGCGTTCCCCGCCCCCCCCCGCCCCCTCTTCGACACGAGTCCTCCATCGTCGCTCCTCTCGGGGGCGTCCGAGAGGGGAGCGCGTCCCAGAGGGGGGGCGCAAGGCATGGCCACTGGCACGCGCGCGGCCCTGCGGGATGGGCCGCGAGGGGCGCACTGAAGCAAGAAGAGGCGCACTGAAATTTGGGGACACGTTCCGGCTCTCGCCATTATATCCACCACCCCCTGGTCATCACTACCCTCTCGGCCGCCCCCGACAATCCTCTATCTTCGCTCCACCAGACATGGAGGACGGATCGTTTTCAAGATCGGGCTCTCGCTTTAGCACCCCACACATCCGCTTTACACGTGTCCGGCAGGTTTCGCTGATGGAAGATGGCCCGTTTTCAAACTGTGTGTCTCGCCTTGTCGCCACGCGCATTCCCAACATTTGTGTGCGCGGATGGAGGGAAAAGACCTTCCTCTTTAAAATTAGGTTCTCGCCTTAGCGCCGCACATATCAACCATGAATATTCCCCAACAACTCCACGGTTGGAGACAAGACCGCAGGAAGGCTGAATATGTGCAAGCATCATTCGCATGAAGGCGGTTCCTTCTTCAACATTTGGCCTCGATGCAGATTTCCTTAGACCTGATCCACATACTGGAGAATTGGGCAAACACTAGGTACGCAGATGGAGGGCTCTTTTCCAGTACGGGGCTTTGGCTGGTGACTTCCTTGAACTGTGCTTTGATGCAAAATCAAAGGCACTTCCTTTTCAACACGGGGCCTCCTCTACATCGCAGGCCGTGGGGGCGCTCATATTTGAAGCGGGAGCTTCACGTCGTCAGAGCGCATGCCTGCAAACAGCAGGGGCCTCGGGATGGGAGTCCGTATTGCATCATTGTTGGATGTACCCTGGATCTACTCTGGCAATCTTTATGCCCATCCTCTCCCTTCTCCCCCCCGTAGAATATCTCTGGAGGCCCCTGCAGGTCTCCCCAAGAGGCTTCTGGAGATCCCCGAGAGCGCACAATGCCTGGGTCACCTGACTCAGCACGCCTGCGCTCCGCAAGCCGCGGTTACCTCCGCGCCTCCCCGCCGCCCCCTGGCGAAGGGCAGCCGCTTTGGCCCAGACCGCGACGCGCGAAGCGCGGGCATCTTCGCGCCCTGGGGCGACTTGGAAAATGCACATTGACGAATGGCCCTCATACTCCCCCCTCTCTGCGAGGGTTGCCCTCCGAGCTGCTTGCTCCCTCGACGCCAGGGCGGCGGGGACCCCCCGGCTACGACGGCCCTGTCTTCGGCGGCGAGCCCGGGGGGGGGAGCGAGAAGGGGCGGGCCTTCTCAGAAGGCTCGGAAGTCCCCCGGCCTTCTGAGCAGTTTCCTTGGCCTCCCCCGAAGACGCAGAAGACTCCTCAGAAAGCGCGAGGGCTTCTGAAAATGTCCGACCGCCTTCCGAGAAGGCCTTCTCCTTCTCACTTCCCCTCCCCTCGCTCGCCGCCGACCTCTCGGAGACGGAACCCCGCGGCACCCGCCTCGACGCTCGAACTTGCGAGCAGGTCGCCATGGGCGGAGAGCACGCGAAAAGTGGAAAAAGCTGCGCGAGAGCACGGCTTGAGCGCGCGTCGGTTTTTATTCCCCGAAACTGTTTTGTCCCCCCTCGAGTGGGGGGGCGGAGGAGGGAAGCGAGGAGGAGGAGGGGGCGAAGGGTGACGAGGAGGTTCGAGGAGGATCAGCCGTTTGTCGCCGCTCGATGGGGGGGCGGAACGAGGGAAACGAGGAGGGGAGAAGGGGGAACAGGAGGTTCGAGAAGGATCGAGGTTCGAGCTATTTTTCTTGAAGGAAGGATTGCAAAAAACCTTCGAAGGATTGATTGCAAAAAACCCTCGAGGTTTTTTTTGCAATCCTTCGAGGGTGTTTTGCAATCCTTCGGGTTTTTTGCAATCCTTGGTTTTTTTGCAATCCTTCGCCAAAGTTGTGTGTTTCCTTTGCCCCCTGGAAGCCTGCAAAGGTCTGATAGGGGACGCCCTCCCTCCTTCCTCGGCCGGCCCTCCTGCAAGGAGGGGGGGAGGGGGAGGGAGGGAGGGGAGGGGAGGGAGGGAGGGAGGGAGGGAGGGAGGGAGTAGGGAGAGAGGAGAGAGGAGGAGGAGGAGGAGGAGGAGGAGAGAGGAGGAGGAGGAGGAGGAGGAGAGGAGGAGGGGGGGAGGAGGAGGAAAGAGGAGGAGGAGGAGGGAGGGAGGGAGGGAGGGAGGGAGGATTGGAGTGCACCAGACCTCATCCAACATCGCCTTTGAAACGTCGAGAAGACGGATCTGTTTCGCCGTCTTCGGCCCCGCAATCCTGGCGGTCCCTAGACAGAGGCCGAGAGCTGAAGGGGGCCCGTACAGGAACAAACACACGACATCGGACACACGGCATAGAAAAAGACCTTCCGCTGTGGTGGCGCGCCTGTGCCGACTCCGAAGGCTCAGTTCGAACATGTTGACGTCTCCCAAGTTTTGCGATGACGCTGGCGGGACGTCGCCGTAGATTGAAGAAGCTGTCTGGCAAGTCTCTACGACTATCTCACGACTGCATCTGTCGACGACTACATTTCTTACCTGGAAGCCCTGTCTACAGTACGACCGTGCTTCCGCCTTAGGCGTTGCTTCATGGGGGCGGCGACAGATGCTCGGTGGTGGGGGGGGCACCCTTTTGTGCCCTTCAGGACTCAAAAGGTCCACCTGTCTTCTACCCCCCTCATTACAGTAGGGGCCCGACCACAAGAAACCTTTCACACGAAACCCAACCCTGAGACACCAGGGCGTCCCTAGATTTTTGGTGTGGGAACGTCACGCTTTCCGTCGCGAAACCATCGAAACCCAAGAAACCCAGGGCAGAAGGCCCGAAAGGGTCAAAATGGCCTCCAGGCGGCCAAGATGGCCTTCCAGATGCCCACGTGTTCCCCGAAGGCTGTCCAAACCGATTCGGGGAACACATGGTCCGATAGCTTGGCAGGTCTGGCCTGAACGTTCGGCCACATAGGCGCTTCCAAAAAGGCAGGGGGCGGCGGTGATTCCCCGTAGGCGTCTTCGATTACGTACGTCGTACAGTGGGGGCCAGTCCACAAGAAACCCAACCCTGAGATCCCAGGGCGTCCCTTGCTTGATCTTTGGCGTGGGAACGTCACGCGCTCCATGGCAACAACCAGGGAAGCCCAAGACACCCAGGGCACCCTGGAGGCACGCAGGGTGTTTCTTGGCATGGGCCCCCACTGCACTTCGTACCACGCTTCGCACGCCGAATCTGGAGTGGCGGTGCCAGCAGTGGTCTCGGACGCCCTTCTTCCTGGGCCACGGCGAGGCGCAGCGCCTCGCGCAGGCGCCCCACGGCCGCCGCCTCCTCCGCGGCCCTGGCTTCCTCGGCGGCCCTTGCCGCCGCGGCAGCCCTCGCCGCCTCCTCGGCGACCCTGGCCGCCTCTGCCGCCCTCGCCGCCTCCTCTGCGGCCCTGACCTCCGCCGCCTTGGCCTCCGCGGCGGCCTTGGCCTCCGCGGCGGCCTTTGCCGCTGCGGCTGCCCTCGCCGCTTCCTCGGCGGCCCTGGCCTCCTCTGCGGCCCTGGCCTCCGCGGCAGCCTTCGCCGCCTCCTCTGCCGCCTTGGCAACCGCGGCAGCCTTCGCCGCCTCCTCTGCGGCCCTAGCATCCTCTGCGGCGTTGGCCACTGCAGCCACCGTCGCTGCCTCCTCTGCCGCCTTCGCCTCCTCTGCAGCCTTCGCCGCCTCTTCCGCGGCCTTGGTGTCTGAGGCAACCTTGGCCGCCTCGTTTGCGGCCTTGGCCTCCGCGGTTGCCCTCGCATCCTCAACTGCCGCCCTGGCCTTCGCCGCCTCCCCTGCCGCCTTGGCCCCCGCGGCAGCCTTCGCCGTCTCCTCTGCAGCTCTAGCATCCTCGGCAGGTTTGACCCCTGTAGCTACCCTGGCTGCCTCCTCTGCCGCCTTCGCCTCCTCTGCGTCCTTCGCTGCCTTCTCTACAGCTCTGGCCTCCGCCGCATTGGTCTCCTCTGCGGCCTTGACCTCCGCAGCAGCCTTTGACGCTGCAGCTGCCCTCGCCGCCTCCGCAGCCCTGGCGTTCTCGGCGGCCTTGGCCTTCGCGGCAGCCGTTGCCTCTGCAGCTGCCCTCGCCGTCTCCTCTGAAGCCCTGGCATCCTCGGCGGCCTTGGCATCTGCCGCAACCTTTGCCGCTGCGGCCACTTTCATCGCCTCCTCGGCAGCATTGGCCTCTTCGGCAGCCCTGGCCTTGGCCTCCGCGGCAGCCTTTGCCGCCCCCTGCGCGGCCCCGGCCTCGGCAGCTCTAGCCTCCTCTGCGGCCCTGGCCTCCGCGGTGGCCTTTGTCGCTGCAGCTGCCCTCGCCGCCTCCTCCGCAACCCTGGCATTATCGGCTGCCTTGGCCTCCACGGCAGCCTGTGCCATTGCAGTAGCCTTCGCCGCCTCCGCCGCAGCTCTGACATCTTCGGCGGCCTTGGCATCGGCGGCAGCCTGTGCCGCTGCAGCTACCCTGGCCGCCTCATCCACGGCCCTGGCCTTCACGGCAGCCTTGGCCGCCTTCTCCGCGGCAGCAGTATTCGCTGCCTCCTGGGCAGCCCTGGCCTCCGCTGCTGCTTTTGAAGCTGCAGCAGCACTCGCCGCCTCCTGTGCAGCCTTGGCCTCCGCGGCAGCCTTCGCCGCCACCTCCGCAGCCCTGCCCTCCGCGGCAGCCTCTGCAGCTGCTGCCGCTCTGGCCGCCGCCTCCCGGGCCCCTGCCTCTTCTGCGGCCCTCCCCTCCTCTGCCGCTCTCGCTGCCGCCGCTGCCCTCGTCGCCTCCCCCGCAGCTCTCGCCCCCTCGGCCGCCGCCGTGGCCTCCGCGCCGGCCTCCGCCGACTTCCCCGCGGCAGCGCCCGCATCCCCTGCCGCCCGTGCGACCACCTGGGGAAATCAGAAGGTACCAACACCGCGGCTCCCCGGACCTCTCCCGGGGTGCTTCCTGACCAGAAGTCGGAGGCGCACCCAGCGGTGGCGACGAGAGCCTCCTAGGAGGCCCCGAAAAAGGAAAAAACGGGCGAAGGGTACAGTAGGGTCATGGGTTTGAGCCCAGACATGCGACGTCCTGACTTGTCCAGTGCGCGGCCCCTGGAAGTCCCGACCCTTTCCACGGCACTGGCTTCTCGTCCCGAGTCGTTTTTCGATGGTGTACGGGGAGCCGGCGAGGGCCCCCAGGGGTCGAAAATAGTAGAACACTCGCCGTCCTGCTTTCTTCTCCGACGCGAGCATGTCTGGGTGGCTGCCTCCTCCTCCTCTGACCACCGCTGCCTCCTCGGCGCCAGCGGGCGCCCCTGCGGCCTCGGCGGCGGGCGGGGCCTCCCGGGCCGCTCCCGCCGGCGCCTCAGTTCACGCGGGCCTGCCCCTCTACAGGGGGAATGCTCAAAAACAGCCCAAAAATAGTCGGGGCACGATTTGTTCCACTCTTTCTCGGCATTCTGGGGGCATGTTCCGAATATGTTCAACTTCTCGCCCAAGCTCCCCCCTGGAGGAGGACAGGCCCGACTTAACGCCTCGGCGGACTGCGCCGCCCCCCCGCCGGCCGCCGCGGCGGCGCCCGCTCCTCCGCGCGGGCGCGGGCGAGGGGCTCGTCGTCGTCGTCGTCGTCGCGATCGCTGCCGTGGTCGTCGTCGACGCCGCCGCCGCCGCCTGCCGCCGCCGCCGTCGTTGTCGTCGAGGTCGTCGTCGCCGCCGCCGCAGCCGCCGCCACCGCCGCCGACGCGGTCGTCGTCGCCGTGGTCGTCGTGGTCGTCGTGGTCGTCGTGGTCGTGGTCTTGATCGTGGTCGTCGTCGTCGTCTTTGCAGAATTGGGGAGGGAGGGTGGGAAGGTGGGAGGGGGGTGGAGGGGAAAGTTTCGGGGACAAATCCGCCGACCCTGTCGGCGAGGGAGGGGCTTGTCTGTTCGAGTCGTCGTTTCCGTCAGTCGTCGTCTCCGTCGTCCATTCTCCCTGTTACCCTCCTCCTCAAGCTTGTCAGCGAGAGAAAAAATCTAGCAATGTTGAAATCGAGTCGCAAGGAAGCCCCTTCCCTTTGATCCCTCCCCTTCCGCGGGCGGAGGGACCCGAGGAGGTCCCAGGGGGAGGGAGTCAGATACGCATCCCCCCTGGTGGCCGATGGTCCTCAGACTGTACCAAGACAGGCCAAGAGTGCCCCAAGAGGCCCCCGAGGCAGTCCTAGAGGGTCCCCAGATGGTTCCAAAACGCCTTCATGCCCTCCCCAGGAGGCCTACAGGACGCCCCAAGGCGCCTCCAAGAGCACTCCCAAGAGGGCCCCAAGAGGCCAAATTCAATGTATTACCGTTGGTTTGTTCAAGATTTTGGCGTTCTCTCCTTTTGATGGCCCAAGAGGCCTCCAAGAGGGCCCCCAAACAGCCCAAGACGACCCCAAGACAGCCCAAAACGCCTCCAAGACGGCCCAAGAGGCCCCAAGACGGCTCCAAGAGCGAGCCCAGACGGGGGACCCGAACGGACATTCCGAGCCCTCGGCCCCAAGAGGCCCCAAGAGGTTCCCAAGAGGCCCACAGGAGGTCCCCAGGAAGCCTAAAGAGGGCCCAAAGAGGCTCCCAAGAGGCCCCCAAGAGGATCCCCAAAGGCCCCGAAATTCCTCCCCACAGGCCCCCGCGAAACTTCCGCAGAGACCCCAAGAAGCATCCCTGAGGACTCTGGCCCACGTCAGCGTCGACGTCAGTGCCGCCGCCGCCGCCGTTGTGGTCGTCGTCGTCCTCGTCGTCTCCATCCAGGGCCGGCGGCACCTGCCGTAAGGCCGTCGCAATCAAACGGGCCTGGGGAGGTCTTTGAATTCTAAGGGCCCAGCAAGCTCTGGGAGGAGTCAGGAGGCCCTGAGAGGCGCCATGCGGCTCCTGGACGCGGCAGGAATCTATACATATATATGTATATATATATATGTACATGCATACACACATACATGCATGCATGCATGCATGCATGCATGCATGCATGCATGCATGCATGCATACATACATACATACATACATACATACATACACACACAGACAGACAGACAGACAGACAGACATACATACATACATACTAGAACCACGCGCGCGCTTCGCGCGCGCTTAGGTTCTAGCTAGGAGGCGAGCTTGAGTCAACGAAAGTCGCAGGGAAGGGGGCAGGGGGAAGAAGGCCAGAGAGCGCTGAAGGATACAAAAACTGGAACCCTCTTGTGATTTTGTGGGGGGCCTCGTCCGGCCGCTCGCTGGGAGTTTGACGTAGCTTCTCGGGAGCCTCTGAACCTGTCGGGGGCCTCCTGGAAGCAGGTTCGAAGCATTTTGGGGGCCGATTTGGAGCTTCTCGGGGCCTCCTTTGGGCCTCTTGGGGGTCTCCTGGGGCCTCTTGAGGGGCCTCCTTGGGGCCTCCTGGCGGCCTCTTGGGGCGGAAGGCTCGAGCTTGCGGTTCGTGGTCCCCCTCTGGGCCCCCTCTTGGGCCCGTCTTGGGGCCCTCTTGGGCCATCTTGGGCGCCTCTTGGGCCGTCTTGGGGCCCTCTTGGGCTGTCCTGGGGCCCTCTTGGAAGCTTCTTGGGCCGTCTTGGGGCGGTCTTGGAGGCCTCTTGGGCCGTCTTGGACGCGGTGAAAGCCCAAGATGCGAACATGCGAAAAATATACGTTTTCCCATAGGAATGGCACGATTTTTGTTTCTTGGACCTCTCTTGGGGTGCCTCTCGGAACGTCTTGGGCTGATTTTGGAAGCCTTTTGGCGCCTCTGGGCGGCGTTTTGGCGCCTCCTGGGATATGTTGGGCCAGAAGCTCGGAATTCGAGAGTGGCTTTCTCCTTCTGGGACCCCTCTCGAAGTCGTCTTGGGGTTCTCGTGGGCCGTCTTGGGGCCGTCCTGAGCCACTCGTGCGAAGCCTTGGAGCGCTCCCGGAGGCCTCCTAGGCCGTCTTGGAGGCCTCTTGGGCGTCTTGGACGCGGTGAAAGCCCAAGATGCGAACATGCGAAAAATATACGTTTTCCCATAGAAATGGCGCGATGTTTGTTTCTTGGACCTCTCTTGGGGTGCCTCTCGGAACGTCTTGGGGTGCTTTTGGGAGCCTTTGGCGCCTCTTGGCGGCATTTTGGCGCCTCCTGGAACCTCTTGGGCCGGAAGCTCGGAATTCGAGGTTGGCTTTCTCCGTCTGGGACCCCTCTCGAACTCGTCTTGGGGCTCTCTTCGGCCGTCTTGGGGCCGTCCTGGGCCACTCGTGCGCAGCCTTGGAGCGCTCCCGGAGGCCTCGTAGACCGTCTTGGGCGCCTCTTGGGCCGTCTTGGACGCGGTGAAAGCCCAAGAGGCGAACATGCGAACAATATACGTTTTCCCATAGGAATGGCACGATTTTTGCTTCTTGGGCCTCTCTTGGGCTGCCTCTCGGAGCGTCTTGGAGGCTTCTGGGACCTTCTTGGTGTCATGACAGGCGTCTTGGAAGGCATCTGGAGCCATCGGAGCGCGTTCCGAAGCCGCCTGCGAACGATCTTGGACGGCGTCCGGCGGTCCGACGAGCCTCCGGGCCCCCCGGGGCCCACATTTGTGGTCGGGGTCCCGGCCCCGGGCCCCCGGACCCGGAGCGCCGTTATATGTATACATACATACATACATACATACATACATACATACATACATACATACATACATACATACATACATACATACATACATACATACATGCATACATACATACAAACATACATACAAACAAACAAACATACATACATACATACATACATACATACATACATACATACATACGTACGTACGTACGTACGTACGTACGTGCATGCATGCATGCATGCATGCATGCATGCATGCATACATACATACATACATACATACATACATACATACACACATATATATGTATATATATACATACATACACATCTATTAGCATATACACACATGTACATTTATATATACACATGGATATATACATACACATATGTTTATATACAGGAGGGTCCCGAGGGCCCCTGGCAGCACCAGGAAACATCAGGAGTGTCAAATATTGTTGTTCTCTGTCACCGATGTTGCTCCTCCACCCTGCTGCTATAGCAACCTACAACTCCTCCTCCTGCTCCTCCTCCTCCTCCTCCTCGGCCTCCTCCTCCTTTTGCTCCTCCTTCTCCACCTGTACCCTTCATGCATCTTGCGGCCGAGCGGTCTTTCCCACGCGTCCGCCCCCGCACGGGCCACGCGGACCAGGGGGCCGAATCATCGCCAGCGCGGTCGAGACGGCCCGAGCGCCGCTGGCCGCCCGGCGGAGCCCCCGCCATGGCCGAGGCGCAGCAGCCCGGGCAGGGCAGCCATGCCGGACCACCTGCCTGGCTGCCTGGCGCGCCGCGCCCCGGAGGGCGCAGAGCTCGAGGTTCAGAGCACCTGGTTCGTCCGTAGCCATTTTGGCTCAAGCCATTTTGGCTCAAGGAACATTTCTCGGTGGTTTCAGTGACCAATACATCTTCGGGGGCCCCAGCAGACGGCTGCCCAGCCAGGGGCTCCCTTCCTTCCGTTCCCTTCAACTGGCTCAGCAGCCAGGTTGAAGGCCAGTCTTATCACTCACGATACTGTACATTCCAATTCTTCCGCCCTCCAGCTGTCTGCCGCAATGGGGAGCAGGGGCAAGGCGCCTCGCGACTTCTCCTGGACGTGCTCGGAGTGCCAGGCTACTACCAGTCGCAACCTCCACTGGTGCTGGAGGTGTGGCTCGCACTGGACGCACACGGCTACGGGTTGGCAGCCTCAAAGCGGGGGGGACAGTCCCCGTGGGGCAGACGCCAAGGTCGGTGACGGCAAGGATGGCAGAAAGAAAGGCAAAGGCAAGAAAGGGCGTGGCAAACGACAGAAAGGAGGCAAAGGTAGCGAGGAACGTGCCGACTCTCCTGGCGGTGGTCCTCTTCCTCCTGCTGCAGCTCGTGCCCCAGTCGACGGAGACCTCATCGATGTCAACATGGACAGGGAGCAGCGTAAGCCAGCCAATGTCGGCCAGGACATACAAGTGTTGCAACGGGCATATGATGTGCTCATCAAGCAGGAAGGTGGACCAGACAGTGATGCAGCCAAGTCTTTGCAGATCAAGCTTCACAATCTTCGGCAGGTTCGTGACAGCGCCAAGTCGGAGAGCCAGCGCCTGCTGGTGGCCAGTGGGAAGCTCTCCAAAGTCGAGAAGCAAGTGGAGTCACATTCACAGTCGGTTGGACTTCTTGAGACTAAGGTTCAGAAATGCGCAAGCTCATCTTCGAGTACAGGAGCGTGCCTTGGCGGAGGCAAAGGAGAACCTGGCGGAGGCGCAAAAGAAACGAGATGAGCTGGTCGTGGAGACACGCCGTGCCCACGAGGCACAGGACGTGGCACAAGCAGC